AGGGGCCATGGGGGAGGAGTCCCCACTGGGAGGTCAGGGTTGAACTCAGCATTGCTGTCATGGGGGTCCCCAAGGAGTTGGGGAGCCCCCACAGTGCAGCTGTGGAATGGCATAGCCCAGACAACCTGGTCCTGAACCACTGACCCCTTCCTACCGCCACCCCACCTGAACTGCTGCCCTACTTCAACCTCAGCCAAGACACTTCCTCTCCCTGGCCTTGGTTTCGTCATTTGTACAGTGAGGGGGTGGGACCCTGTCAGTTCTGAGCATCCTCGATGTTGTGAGAGGTCCTGTTACATTTTTCGCCAGGCCCAGTGCAAAATGAAAGTTTGGGCCCCTCATTCAAAATCGAGACTTTCAAACATTGACTATTTACCAAAATATCTTTCCAAGGTGGAATGCCAGAAAAGTTTTCAGGCGATTCCACAGAAAACTCTGTTTCCAAAGACTTTATCTCCTTTCTCCTTTTCTTCCCCCACTCCCAAACTCCTTCCTTGCATTTCTGAAATCACCTATCTCATATATAACCTCTGCAGTTTACAACCTGAAAATCTAATGGATTACCAGATCAACTTCACTATGATTTCATGAACACATATGTGAAATTATAAACAATTGCAAATGCTTAGATTTAAAGTTTCTTTTATGACAGGGCTATGTTTAAGTGGGATTAGACATTAGTAAATATTTTTTTAGTTAAAAAAAAAAAATCAAGGCTTACAAGACAGCAGCACTTGGGCGTTAGACCGAGCATGGGGCCCTGTGTGACTGCCCAGGTTATGTGCCCAGGAAGCCAGCCCTGACTGTGGGCTGGCTCTGTGTGTGGCAGCAAGAGAGAGGGCAGTGTAGCTTGAAGTCTGACTCCTGAGACTCTGGTACAAGATGGGCAGTGATAGGGGGCAAGGTGACCCTCCTCCCCACCAGGCTCCTCAGGGAACTAGCCCGGGAGGCCCTAGTGGAGGCAGGAGGTAGGGCTTGTAGGCTTCTGTTTCCTCTTGAGTCAGGCTTCACCCCAGAGATACTGTTTCTTAGCCCAGGGGACCTGGAACTTGCGTTCTCCACCCAAGTTGCTCAGAGTTGAGTTCTCTGGACCCGGGCAGGGGTAGGACACCTGAGAGACACTGTAGCCAAGGGATTCCCTCTGGAACGAGGCAGATCTGAGTTTCCCTTTACTTCTGGCTACCCTTTGCCTCACTTCCCTTATCTTTAAAATGTGGGGACTTCCTTGGTGATTAGGTGGTTAAGACTCCATTCTTCCAACGTAGGTGGTGAGGGTTCTATCCTTGGTCAGGGAACTAAGATCCCACAAGCTGCATGACAAGACCAAAAGGAAAAAAAAAAAAGGAGATTACTGTAGTATCTAGAAGCTAAAATTGTTGGGTAGGTCAAAGCCTGATAAGGCAAACTTCATACTTGTGGTTGAGATAAAGAAGACTTGTTGTCAGCAGGAAGAACTAGGCTCAGGGCATTGAGTCTAAGACTTCCAGAGAGAGAGGATCACAGTAGGGTCTGGGAGCCTGGGGCTGGAACCTCCTCCCTCATTCCCCGCTCCCCACCATCAGAATTCTTCCCAGACAAGCCAGTCCAATCAGGCAGAGAGACCTGGAGCAAGGTAGGTTCCCACTCTAAATTGAGGGTTAGGGGACATGAAATATGGGGTCCAGGTGGGAATGATCCTTGATTCTGAGAGTCTAGAAAATTTTCTCCAGGTGACTGGGCCCATGGCTTCTCCCAGGGGCCAGGCAATGAGACTCCATGAGAGTCTGGGGGAGTCTGAAGTAAGTCTTTTTTTGGCTGTGCTGGGTCTTAGTTGCAGCATGTGGGATCTAGTTCCCTAACTAGGGGGTCAAATCTGGGTCCCCAGGTTGAGACTGCAGAGTCCCAGCCACTAGGTCAGCAGGAAAGTCCCTTAAGCTAGTCTTACCAGAAACAGTTGTGGGGGGCGGCTTGGCTGAGACCAGCTCTCAGAGAAATTGAGGGAAAATGAGAGCTGAGGGAAAGGGAAGAAGGCTGAGCTGACTCTGACAAGGATTCTTCTAAGGAGGAGCCTAAGCTGTCCCACCTTCTGTACACTTTGCTGTGGCAGAGAGCGGGGTGGGTGCATGTTACACAGCAGGAAAGACCTCCTGACCGTGAGGAACATGCACTTAAGAAGGTGGTCTATTTATTAGAGTCGGATTAGCCCTGGGATGTCTGTGCTCTGTAACCAGCAGTCAGCTGGACTGAGTGAGCAGGAAACTAGCCACTTTCTAGGTCAGGAAGCCTTGGGTGCTAGATGCCTCATTAACCCTGCATTATGAGATCCCCGGAGCCCTAAGGGAGGGATGAGCAGCCACCATCGGGCCTTTGGGTGCCTCAGAAGTACGAGCGCAGACGGGACATTTTCTGGGTCTGCCACTGGCCTGATGCTGCCCTAAGAGTGCTGGAGATAAGACTACAGAAGGAATTTTCTCAGCAAAGCCATGGATAAGAGCCTAATGCAATTGTTTTATTACACATTTTTTTAAACCACTTAAAAAATATATATTTATTTATTTGGGTCTTAGCTGTCCTGCAGGCTCTGTTACCCCGAGGCGTGTGAGACCTTAGTTCCCTAACCCGGGATCGAAACTCTGTCCCTTGCATTGCAGGATGGATTCTTAGCTACTAGACCCTGAGGCAAGCCCCTAAATCATTTTTTTAAATGGAAGTATATTTAATCGACAATGTTGTGTTAGTTTCAAATGTACAGAAAAATGTGGACTTCCCTGGTGGTCTAGTGGTTAAGACTCCATGCTTCCAATGCAGGGTGTGGGGGTTTGCTTCTTGGTTGGGGAAGGTCCCACATTGCTGAGTAGTGTGGCCAAAAAAAAAAAAGAAAAGAGTGTACAACAAAGTGATTCAGTTTTACGTACACATATATAGATATGAAAAGTCAAAGTGTTAGACGCTCAGTGGCATCTGACTCTTTGTGACTCCATGGACTGCAGCCCACCAGGCTCTTCTGTCCATGGAATTCTCCAGGCAAGAATACTGGATTGGGTTGTTGTTGTTTAATTGCTAAGTTATGTCCGACTCTTTGCGACCCCGTGGACTCGTAGCCCACCAGACTCCTCTATCCATGGTATTTCCCAGGCAAGAATATTGGAGTGGGTTGCTATTTCCTTCTCCAAGGGATCTTTCTGACCCAGAGATTGAGCCCGGGTCTCCTGCATTGCAGGCAGATTATATATAAACACATTCTTTTTCAGATTGTTTTCCATTATAGGTTATTACAAGATATTAAATTTTTTAAAAAAGATATTAAATATAGGTCCCTGTACTATACCGGAGAAGGCAGTGGCACCCCACCCCAGTACTCTTGCCTGGAAAATCCCATGGACGGAGGAGCCTGGTGGGCTGCAGTCCATGGGGTCGCTACGAGTCGGACATGACTGAGTGACCTCACTTTCACTTTTCACTTTCATGCATTGGAGAAGGAAATGGCAACCCACTGCAGTGTACTTGCCTGGAGAATCCCAGGGACGGGGGAGCCTGGTGGGCTGCCGTCTATGGGGTCGAACAGAGTCAGACACAACTGAAGCGACTTAGCAGCAGCAGCAAGCTGTACTATACAGTAGGTCCTTGTTGTTCATGATTGTGTTGTTTTTAAAGACTATGGCTCAGTTGGACATAGGAGGTCTGAAAGATTATTCCACTTCAGGGACTTCCCTGTTGGTAGGACTGGAGAGACCCCACCTTGTGGGTAAGTGAAAAGAGGAATACGAAAGACGGTGTCATGTTTCCTATCTGGGAAATCTTGAGCAAGAGGTAAAATCCCTGCTAGGCTTGTTAGACTGGCTGTGACAAGATAGAGGGGCAGGGGAATGGCTAAAATGACCTAGAAACTTTCTAGCCTTTTAAACTTTCTCGATTGACAGGTGAGAGGAGGGCCAAAGAGAGAGGTGTGTCTCCTTTTATTCCCCTCCCAATCAACCAACTTCCGCCCAAGCCAGGGATCTGTCACAACTCGAGAGGTGGAAATTCTGGTTTCCCTTGCCCAGAGCTCCCAGTGTGGGCTTTGCCACTATGGGTACCTGGAGGGCCGCACTCCTGGCCCCGCCAGGCTGAGCCTCCCGTCCCCCACCTCTGGGGCCTGGGATCCCTCCCTTCTTCTTTCTCTTGGATGGCACCCCCCGCCCAAGAGTCTGGATACCTGGGTTCTATGCCGTGACTGGCTCAACGGTAGGTGAAATGTGATGGCTGACTAGAGGGGTGGCAGTCCAAGGGGAGGATTATGCAGAGACCCAGGGAGACAGATAGCAGCAGCACTAAGACCAGAGAGAGAGGGGGCAGCTGCAGAGGCTGGGAGATGACCAGCCGCTCCCCTGCCCCGGGCCACTGTCCGTGTGATGCTAGTAGCCAGCCTGGAGGGCTGGTCTCCCATCTCCTCTTTGCAGGAAGAGGCCTGTAGGCCTCAGAGTCAGAGAACAGAGCAGACCGATTCAGACCTGGTCTTCTTGTTTGGGTCATCAGAGGGTAGGGCTAAGCACAAGACCCAGAGTATCAAGAGATCTGAAAGTGCCAGGAGAATCAGGTCTGAAGAATCTATACTGCGAGTGCAGGAATGTGCTCCCCAGAAAGTCCCGGGGCCAGGACCAGGCAGTGGTTTGGGACCTGGGCTAGGGGAGGAGGAGAGGCAAAGAGTAGATGACAAGAAGGACTTCCTTGAGAGTAAGGTGAGGAAAGGCAGAGCTGGGCTATTGGTGCAAAGAGATCAAAAGGGATGGGGAACAGCTGGATTTCAACCCCGAGGGGAGAGTGGGGCAGAGCGAGGCCTGTGAGAATGATGGAAGTGAGACTCTCCGAGGGCACGCTGGAGAGGAACCTGGCCCGCCCCCCTCGCATCCCCCCCTGCCATACGCACTTCTGCTGCCTGGGGCACTCTGATTGGCTCCCAGGGGGGATGTGGTAAGGCCTGCTCACCCAGAGAGTACCCGTGCCTGTTTCCCCAGAGACCCAGTGACAGCCCCTGGCTGAGCATGGCCCTTCCCGCCCTGGGCCTGGACTCCCGGAGCCTCCTGGGCCTTCTGCTCTTCCAGCTGCTCCTGCTGCTCCTGCCACCGCCCACAACCGCGGGGGGTGAAGGGCAGGGACCCGCACCCAGGGTCAAATACTGCGCAGGTAAGGGTCTGACGATCAGGAAGGAGCGGGTGGCAGCCCCGGGCTGGAGGCGGGTGGAGGAAGGAAAGAGAGAATGGAAGGAGAGTGGTAGGAAATTGGGCTTGGAGGAACCACGACAGATAAGTCATGGAGAAGCAGAGGGCGTCAGAGAGAGAGAGAGACAGCCAGAAATAGAAATTCAGGCCGAGAAAGGAGTGAATGATGAAGCTCACTTGGGGGAGAGACTGAGGAAAGGGAGGTGAGGGGAGCAGGGGGCCAGGGGCGTTGTGCCTTCTGGTTCTCCAGAGCTGATGATTTCTCTTGCCCTCCTTCAGTGTCACTGTTATCAAACTGGGCACTTCAAACCCATAACTGCTTTCATGCCCTCAAATGCCCCAAGGACATTTGAGGCATAAGGGAATCCGTGGACCTGGTGACCCAGGACACACAAGTGCACAGATTATGCTGGACCATGCTGTGTCCAATACTGTGGACACCAGGAATATAAGAAGCCAGAGTAGCCTGGCTGGGATATGGGCCCTGGGACCCTGTAGGCACAGCTTGACTGGTGTCTTACTGAGGCTGTGGGGGCTGCTGGCCCTCCATCTCCAGGGAAAAGACTCAGGAAAGGACATGGGCCCTGTCAGAGTTGTAGGGACAGGGTCTCCTGGGCATGGCTGAGTCTTTAGCATCTTTCTGGGGCAATGTGGTAAAGGAAATGCATGTTGCCCATTGATGGAAGGACCTCCCCTGTGTTAGGTGCTGGGCTTACAGCATAAACCCTGCTCCCAAGGTGCCGATGGTCTCCAGGGGCAGGCAGGTGGGCCGTCACATAACCATACTTGAGGGTGATCAGTTCAGTGACAGAGGGGTTTATACTCTGGGGAGGCCAGCCTCTCTGGCACCTTGCCACATGTTTCCCCAACTCCTCTTTGTGGGTGGTACTAAGATTCTCTGAGCCTCCAGAGCTAACAGTTAGCTGATCAGTCCTCTAATGCGAAAGTGCAAATGTGCTCATGACAGAGAGAGAGTTTGAGAAGCACATCTCTCCGTGCTGATGGGCCAGGGGTCCGATGTACCAGGGGACTGGGCACACACGCCCACCTCCGCCACATCACAGTTGTGGGGAGACCTCAGGGAATCTCCCACAGCCAGCCGAAATCCCCAGTCCAGGTGACATCCAGGCGCCTGCAGGAAACTCAGGAGAAAAACATTTTCTTTCTGTTCCACCTATGGCAGTGGTTCTTGTAGTGGAAATTTCCTGTAGAACAGGGAAGGAAAGTGGGGTTGGCGAGTGGGACCTCTACAACCCACAGTCACTCTGACACATAGTCCTATCTACCTCTAGTTTTCTTGTTTGTGGCTGCCAACACCTTCCTGTCACTGCCAACACCTTCCTGTCTATCTGCTTTCTGCCCTCCCTGCCTGTGAGGATTGACGTGTCCTCCCTGCCGCAGTCTCCTAGGCCTGGAAGAACATCGCTTGTGCCTCACTTTATTTCCTGTCCCTTTGTCTGTCTCTTGAGTGTGGGCCACCTTCTGTCTGTCCCAGTCTGTTATTAGCCTGTCTCTGGTTGTCTTTCCTCTCCACTACGAGCTCAGCACCCAACGCTCCTAGGCTGTCAGCAGGGTGGGGCAAAGCAGGGATCTGCTGCTGAAGAGTGGGTCCGGCTGCAAAGGTGGGGGGAGCACACTCTGCCAACCCTTTCCTTCCCCTTCATTTCTCTCAGAAATCAGCTGCTTGCCCACTGCCTTCTCATCACTCACCCCTTCTCACCACCTCTCAACAGGGGATGGACGCAGAGCTCTTAGCTTCTTCCACCAAAAGGGCCTCCAGGACTTTGACACCCTGCTTCTGAGTGATGATGGAGGCACTCTCTATGTGGGGACTCGAGAGGCCATTCTGGCCTTGAACATCGAGGATCCTGGGGTGCCAAGGCTGAAGAACATGGTGAGAGCCAGGGAAAGGGTACGGGCTGGAAGTGAGGAGGGGGCCGACAGCTGCCCTGTGCCTGGGCTGCCTATGAGTGAATAACCACCCAATTTGCTGTTATCTATAATCAGCAATGATCAGCAGTTCTTGGTATAGACATATATATGTATGATTTTTATGACAGACAAGAAACACAATAGTGGCCTCACACTTCATTGGTACCATCAATACTGGCTGAATAATATTAATTGCTAAAATGGCTGATATGGAAATCGACAAAGTGAAAGTGAAAGTTGCTCAGTCATGTCCGACTCTTTGCAACCCCGTGGATAGTCCATGGAATTCTCCAGGCAAGAATACTGGAGTGGGTAGCCATTCCCTTCTCCAGGGTCTCCTTCCCGACCCAGGAATCGAACCAGAATCTCCTGCATTAGCAGGCGGATTCTTTACCAGCTGAGCTACCAGGGAAGCCCCAATACTAATTGCTAAAAGACTGATATGGAAATTGACATATGAAAGAAACATTGACTCAAATTGTATCAGTAATGTGATATCCACCCACTGGAAGAAATCACTGAAGCTTCTGTATTAAATTATAGTCACCCTACTCACAGGAATGTGAGGGAGAAGGGGAGAAGGAAGGAAAAAAGGGAGGGAGGGAGCAAGCAATTACTGAGCATCTCAACACAGTCTGTATTGCTCAGTGTGTGGTCTGTGGGCCACCTGCACATATGGGATGTGGATTAAAAATACAGTTTCTCTGAGGTGTGAGGAACTGAACTTTTTAAACAATTTCCCCAGGAAATGTGTTTTGTTTTGTTTCCAGCTGCTGCTTTGTATACCATGCATGGCATTAGGTGCTTTACATACAGAAATCTGTGCCATTGACCAAGATCACTCAACCAGTAAGTGGCTGAGTCTAGGTTCAAGCTCAGGTCTGATTCCACTGACCATGTTCTAACATGGAGCTGTGTCCTCATGAACATCAGTATCATTAGAGTAATAGCCAGGGTCACAGAGTGAGGTTCTTACAGCCTACCAGCATGTAACTAACCATTATGCCTGCTGGTGGTTTCACACCAGAGCCAAGGAGGGGGTGGTAGGTCAGAGCTAGAGCTCAAGGTCTCATTGCCTTCATCTCCCCTTTCCCAATGCCCTATTTCAGATACCCTGGCCAGCCAGTGACAGAAAAAAGAGTGAATGTGCCTTTAAGAGGAAGAGCAATGAGGTAAGTAGGGGTGGAGATATTGGGGCTGTGGGAGAGAACCCTGGTGTCCCCGGGCCATCACTGGATGACCTTAGGTGAGGCAGACAGCAGAGGACACTTGTTTGAGTGGTCGTGTTCTATAGGCTCATGATCACGTGGCCTGCTGTTCTATAAAGACCTATGGGGACTGCCTCAGCATTGCCCAGCCCTTCTCCCTACTGGCGAGTGAGGGAGCAGTCCTCCAAGGGCCGGGAGTCTGGGCCAAGTGTCCTGGAGGCCTGAATTGTCTATCTCCCCTCAGTCACAGTGTTTCAACTTTATTCGTGTCCTGGTATCCTTCAACGCCACCCACCTCTACGCCTGCGGCACGTTCGCCTTCAGCCCTGCTTGTACCTTCATTGTGAGTTACCTGGCGCTGGCTCTCAGGCCCCACCTCACCTCCACCCCCAGCTCATCCTCTGCAGCTCTGAAAAACTCTGATGTTGCAGCCCAGGGTCCTTGTGAGCTTCCGAGCTCCAGGTCAATTTTCCTCTGCATCCCCTCCCCTTCCTCCCTCATGCCCCTCCTTTCCCAGATGTGAGACTCTGGCGTTCTGGCCCCCCCAGCCACTTCCCCCCCTCTAGGAACTCCAAGATTCCAAACTGTTGCCCATCTCGGAGGACAGGGTTGTGGAGGGGAAAGGCCAAAGCCCCTTCGACCCCACCCATAAGCACACAGCTGTCATGGCAGGTGAGTATCAGGTTCCCTGGTCCATCCCAACAACTGCTTTCCCCGGTCACTCTGTGACACAGGGAATCTGACAATTTCCTGAAAGGCAAGAGGACAAAGGGAGGGGAAGCCAGGAGCCTCAGAGCATAAAATCAGAGGGAGAATCAGGTACCCCAACCAGTTGAAGCTGCCACAAAGGAGATGGGGCAAGATGGATGTGGAGCGATGCACAGAGGTAGGAGGGTCCTGGAAGGGTCTCAGACAGGGAAAAGCCCTGAGAGTCACCAATTGTTCAACAAGCAGGCTCTGTAGGAACACCCCCTCTGGTGTGCCAGGCATTGTGCTGGGAAACGAAGGGATTGCAAAGAGGAAATCATGGTGCTGTGCCCTCCTGGACACAAACCATCACAGACTCCCCTCACCCCCTGGCTTCCTGAAGGCGGTGGCCTTTGACGGAGTGGGACCTTGAAAGACAGGTAGATGGGCAGGGAAAGTGTTCCAGGAAGAAAAGGGTAGGCCCTCATGTGTAGAAACAAAACACAGCCATCCTGGGGAAACAATGAGTGATTCTAACTGGCAAGTGGTTCAGCTGGGTATGGGAGGGAGGAGCCAGAGAAAGGCTGGAAAAGTGCCAAAACACTGGAGGCCACAAAGTTGGCCAGTCCCTGTGGGAGAAGGACCTGAGAACGGTGCTCAGGCTGGGCTGTGAGCTGGGCTTTGGGACTCCACGGGAAGGTGCAGAACAAATGAAGAAGGCCAGAGACTGATGTGAATGCTGGCCCCAGTCAGAGGCAGACCTGAGAAGGGCAGGGACACCCTTCAACTGACAAGGTCCCCCCTCCTCTCCTCACATTAGATGGGATGCTCTATTCCGGCACCATGAACAACTTCCTGGGCAGTGAGCCCATCTTGCTGCGCACTCTGGGACCCCAGCCTGTCCTCAAGACGGACAGCTTCCTCTGCTGGCTGCAATGTAAGGACCTCAGCCCCACCCAGCACAGGTCTGGCCCCCATCCCCAAGTCCTGGACTCCTGGCACTCTGAACTGCTGTTAATTCACTCAACTCTCATGGGTTGAGGCATACTTTATCCAAGGTCGTACTGTTAGGTATTGGTGGTACTGCAGGGAAGAAGACAGGGCTCCTGTCCCGGGAAGGTTGCATCTTTTTAAAAAAAACTGTTTAATTTTTTTTTAATTTTGGTTGTGCTGGGTCTTTGTAGTTGCGCATGCTTTTCTCTGGTTGTGGCGAGCGAGGGGCTACTCTCTAGTTGCATGCAGTGCATGGGCTTCTCATTGCGGTGGCTTCTCTTGTCGGGAAGCACAGGATCTAGAGCAGGCAGGCTTCAGTAGTTGCAGCACATGGGCTCGCAGTGGTTGTGGATCTCTCTGGCTCTGGGGCACAGGTTCAATAGTTGAAGCCCACAGGCTTAGAGGCTGCACGTGAGATCTTCCCTGACAAGGGATCAAATGCTTGTCTCCTGCATTGGCAGGCAGATTCTCTACCACTGAGCCACCAGGGAAACCCGTGAAGCTTTCGTCTTATGTAAATAATTAAAGTACCTCCCCCTACCCTTGGCCACGCCTCGACCAGCTGTGGATCTGGGGCATAGTACCTCCTGATCTTCAGAGTCAAGGGTTTTCACAAAGGGGAAACCGGGGCACCTAGGTGCTCCGTCTCTTAGCCTATCTGCCCTTCCCCTGCAGCGGACGCCTCCTTCGTGGCAGCCATCCCTTCCACCCAGGTCGTCTACTTCTTCTTCGAGGAGACAGCCAGCGAGTTTGAGTTCTTCGAGAAGCTTCACATTTCCCGAGTGGCCAGAGTCTGCAAGGTCTACAGCCTGGTGGGAGGCGGGGCTGGCCGTGGAGAAGCCAATGGGGGAGGTGGCAGAGGCGGGGCTGGGCGCTTAGGGTCCAATGGGGGTGAGGCGGGGGTAAGAGGGCGTGGTCACGCCTGGGCAGTCGGGGGGCCCTCTGACTCAGACTGCGCCCCTAGAATGATGTGGGTGGCGAGAAGTTGCTGCAGAAGAAGTGGACCACCTTTCTAAAGGCCCAGCTGCTTTGTACCCAGCCGGAACAACTTCCCTTCAACATTATCCGTCACGCTGTCCTGCTGGCAGACAATTCCTCCACCGATCCCCGTGTCTACGCAGTCTTTACCTCTCAGTGGTGAGCAGCTGGGCGAGAACGTGGGGGTTGGAAGTGGGATTTGGGGTCAGCCCCCGTCTCGCCCTGGCCCACCAGGGAGGGTAGGAACTGATGTGAGCGAAGCACAAACTCCACACTTCACATGTGAAGACATTTGATCATCACCATCTCCCAGGTATTTGACTCACACCCTTAATGTAGGGCTTAACGTAGATAGAGAAAATAATGCTCAGAATGGTTCTTATTAGTTTATGTTCTGCCTGATTCCAAAAAGGATAGGAGGCAGCTTACAAAAGGCAAGCATTAAAATAAAATAAACCTATGAGGAAATGGAAATAAAAGGAGAATAAGAGAACCCAGGGATCAAGTCAGCAGGTTACAGATGTTTATCACTTATATAGTTGGGGATGTTGGGACACATGTAGCTGTGAACTTCCTAGTGGTCGTAGCACAGAGTGAAACACCATCAGCAACATAAGATAAAAATAAAGTTATTGCTTGGAGACTGAGACTTATTTGCTGTGGTCTGGCCCCCACAGTGTTCAGGTATCTGCTGACAATGTGTCAGGTACCAAAGATATCTTTTGTAAGCAGGGTCTGGTATCTGTGGCTTCCAGGACTGAGAAGATGGTTTATGCCACAGTCAGGTTAAAAGGAAACAATAGAGATAGAGCTTTTGTTTCCACAGACCAGGGCGGAAGGAATAAAAATAGTCTTGTAGTTGGGTTTTGTTTGGTTATCTGAGGACCAAGGATACACCGGACCCCCAGGGAGGAGAGCTTCATCTGGAGCCTGTCCGGGAGCTGGCTACATTGCTTCTCCCATGGAGGCTCAGTCTGGGCAGGCCAGGTGGGAGACGCCCCAGGGCCTGAGCCCAAATTAATTCTCATTAAGGATAACCACACCTCAGATCCTAAAATGAGATAAAGTCTGGGACTCTCTTACCGCCTCAGCTGGGGACTGACCCAGCCCTTCATAGTCCTGCCCTTCTGGGGTTTTTCACCAAAAGTAGGCCAAGGTGGGAGGGGGAGCTTCCTGGTATGGCAGAAGAAGTTGCAGACAGCGTCTCCTCTGCCTGTCTCCAGGCAGGTTGGTGGGACCAGGACCTCTGCTGTCTGTGCATTCTCACTCAAGGACATCGAGAAAGTCTTTGAGGGGAAGTACAAGGAATTGGACAAAGAGACCTCACGCTGGACTACTTATGAACATCCTGATATCAGTCCACGGCCAGGCAGTGTGAGTATTATCCACGCCACTGAGCAAAGCCCGCCTCCCCCAGACATATAATATGAGTGTCAAAGCACCTATCACAGCATGATAGTGCCCCATAAATGCTAGTGCTCCCCACACCCCCACGTCCTGTCTGCTCAGATATTCACCCATTCCAGCTGCCCACATTCCACATCCATGGTGTCCAACCCCATCCTAAACACAGAATAGCACCCCTACAGCCCAGCTAAGTTTGCACCATATATTTGGGTATATCACTGAAAAAAAAAGGGAGCACAGGCTGTGCCAAGGACTTTCTTGGGCCACTTCATCTGCATTTCTTATTTAACTTTCATTTTTGGATTGGAGTTGTATATGTACAACATTTACATGGTTGGTTACAAACAACAGCCCAGTTTCCTCTCCTCAGCACTTTTCCCTCTCTAGAGACAGTCACCTTCAACTCTTTTAGCTGATTCTTTTGATTTTATCTTCAAATCTCAAAATATGTTTATTGCTATTCCTTGATGCTTCCATTTCAGGCATCATCTATTGAATTCCCATTGTGGATGGTGAAGATTTAACCGTGTTGCCCCATCCCCACCCCCACTCAGCAATGAGCTGAAGCTGACTTGCAGCAACTAGCAAGAAGCCTTTGTGCATCTCTTTCCAAATCCGAGTTCAGTGACATTACATTGGTAGCTTGAAATTAGCCATGGTGGGAATAATACATTATGGAAATCAGCAAACACTTTAAATCATCACCCCAGAGCAGCCTTACCAGCAGACCGCTGTACCCACTTCTTATCTCCCAGCATTGGATTATAGGCAGTTTGGTCAGGCCAGTATTTATATTATGATTCATTACTCACAACTGAGCCATGTAGTAGGCCATGATTATTTTTCCTTTTTGCATAATTTAAAAAGTTTTCCCTGGGGTTAGTAATTATCTTAAATTTTTTTTTGGCTTTGTTTTCTAAGCTCTTATCTTTAATTCAACCCCAAACTGTACCTCAATTATCTGAATCTCTTTTGAAAACAGACCCATTTGGTAGTCTAAGAATTTCGTTTTCCTGGAAATCCTTTCTACCTGCTGCAGTCTTGAATACATCTTTGTCTCGTGTACTTCCGGAGTACAGCTGACATCCTGGAAGCTCCCTTCCTCATCATTCTGGGCATCCCCTTTACCTCTTTCTTGTGATAATCTGGTGTTTCTTGCATCCCACAACTTCCTATTTTTTCTTTCTTTCACTGTCTTATTTTAGTGGAGGATAGGTGAGTGGGTGCTAAGTTGCTTCAGTTGTGTCCGACTCTGTGCGACCTTATGGACTATAGCCTGCCAGGGTCCTCTGTCCATGGGATTCTCCAGGCAAGAATACTGAGTGGGTTGCCATGTCTTCCTCCAGGGAATCTTCCCAACCCAGGGATCAAATCCGTGTCTGTTATGTCTCCTACATCGGCAGGTGGGTTCTTTACCACTAGAGCCACCAGGATGGCCTCTGTAAATTCTTGGAAAGGAATACACAGCAGGTAAATTTTTTTGAGAAACTGAGCTTGCTTCGGCAGCACATATACTAAATTTTTTTGAGACTCTGAATGTCTGAAAATGTCTTCATTCTACATTCACCTTTGATAGTTTGCCTAGTTGTATCTATTTTAATTTCTAGGAAAAAATAATCTTCCTTTCAGACTTGGAAGGCATCCTCTATTATATTCTAGCTTACATTGCTACTGTTTGAGAAGTCTGAAGCTACTCTGATCCCCAAAGTTATGAATAACATCTGTTTTTCTCTCTGGAATCTTGTAGTACCTTTTTTGTATTGCTGGTTATTTTGAAATTTCATGATATTGTGCCTTGATGGGATCTTGTTCATTTGTTGTCTGGGCGTTCACTTTGCCCCTTATACCTAGAAATTTAGTTCTTTCAGTTCTAAGAAGTTTTCTTGAACTGTTACCTTTCATTTAACACATATTTTTTAAGGTCACCTGTCACTGTTGTAGGCAATGAAGATATAGTAGTGAAGAAAAGAAAAATCTCTTTCTTCATGGAGAGGATATTCTACTGTTAGAATGTTTTCTCACTTCTTTCTGAACCCCCTGGATTGGTTGGTCCTGTAACGTTTTAAATCCTTTTTAGGAATTTTCCCAAGTCTTTGGTTTTGTTCTACTTTCTAAGAGAGTTCTCAATTTTATCTTCTGATCCTTCTGTCAGATTGTTAATTTCTGCTAACATATTTAATTTCCTAGATTTTTTGAGCTTTGTATATGTCTTGTAAATATGTTCTATTATAGAGAATTTTACACATATAAAAAGTGGACAGAAAAGAAAAAAAAAAAGTGGACAGAATAGTATAATGGACCTCTATACACCTATCAGCCAGCACAACTCCTCGCCAAGCAAACTGCTTCATCTCTACCCCACTCACTTCCCCTCTTATTTTTTGAAGCAAAGTCTGGGCATCATTTCATCTGTGTTAGTTTCCTGTGACTGCCATAACAAATCACCGCAAACTTGGTGTAAAACCACAGAAATTTGTTCTTCCACAATTCTGGAGGCCAGGGCTTTGAAATCAAAGTTGCAGTCGAGGTTGGGTCCTCCTGGAGGCCCTGGGAGAGAATCCGCTCTAAGCCTCACCCCTGCCTCGGCTGCGGGCAGTCTTTGGTGGCCTCTGGCTTGTAGGAGCCTCACTCCAGTCTCTGCCCCTGTTGTCACGTTGCCTTCTCTCTGTGTGTCTCCTCCTCTTCTCTTCTGAGTACACGTGTCATTGGATTTAGAGCCCAGTGTGATCCAGAATGAGTCGTCTTGAGATTTTTAATTGTACCTACAAATACCCTTTCTCCAAATAAAGTCACACTCACAAGTTTTCAATGGGCATACCTTCAGGTGGCTACCACTCATCCCATTACCTCATCCATAATGATTTTTGTATGTATCACCAAAGATAAGGGCTTTGAAAAAAATAACGTATAGTTGCATTATTACACCAAAAAAATAATGCATGCGTGTATGTTTAGTTACTCTGATGTGTCTGACTTTTTGTGACCCCATGGACTGTTGCCCGCTAGGCTCCTCTGTCCATGGGATTTTCCATGCAAGAATGCTGGAGTGGGTTTCCACTTCCTTCTCCAGGGATCGAACCCAGGTTTCCTGCCTTGCAGGTGGATTCTTTACCATCTGAGCCACCAGGGAAGCCCCCCACCCTGCCCAAATTAATAATAGTTTCTTAATCTAATATGCAAAAGTATTCAAATTTCTAATAGTTTCATAGATACCATAAGGGTTTTTTTTTTTAAAATATAGTTTGTTTTTGAAATCAAAATCCAAACAAGATCTGTAAATTTGGATTGGTTGTTCTTTTCAGTCTCTTTTAGTCTTTACGTTCCCTTTCCAAATTCTTTCTCTCTCTTACAATTTATTTGTTATGTAGAATTTCCCACAGTCTGGATCTTGATGATTTTGCATCACTGTGGTGTAGTTTAAATAGTTTCTATAAATTGTTTGGTGTTTGGATCTAGAAACTTCATCATAAAAAGTTGCTCTTAAAGTTTGATTTTGGGGAGCAAAATAAAAAGTTGTGTTAGTTTGGTCTTCTTTCAGGACATTTATGATCTCTGGCTGCATTCTTTGGGATAAGACCTTCTCTTTTGAAGCATTATGTGTGTTCTTGTTTCATGGGTATGCTATCTTCATACTTCTCTCTCTTAAGGTAGCAATGGTACTTGCTGTAAAGTTTTCTTTTCTCTGAATCATTTGTTTCCTCTTAAGGTTTATTTATTTCTTTCCATGTCTCTGTTTTTTGTGTCTTTCATGTCTATGATTTCACTCACATATTTGGTCATCTTTTGCTATCTACTCAGAGTTAAGAGGGAGGGGGCCTTGAAGGTGTGGAAACTCTGCACCCTGGGTATGACTTGGCAACTTGAACTCCATGATAACTCCACTGAGAATGGTCTGGCTAGGCTGCTTTACTGGAGATCTTCAATATCAGTATCTTTAAGTCTTTCCTTTTGAGCCTTTAGTCAGTTTTCCTGGAGCAGATTCTTCCAGTCTTCTCTTGGAGTGAGGCGGTCTGGCTCCTGGGATCTGGGAGTCTTGGGGAAGAAAGGCTGGGTGTGGGGGAAGAGTCTCAGCAGGTACTGTGTCTACCTGCATTTAATCTCCTGCTTTCATCATGGTATGTCACCCTTCTGCTGTCCTCCAACCAGAGTCCCTGTGCCTTATCCTCTCTAGAGAATAAACCTCCAGTCCTGGGCCAGGGTATGGAAGGGACTCAGCTGCATGGAGCTGGGAAGAAATCTGCCTGCTTCTTAAATAGATTTTAAAATATAGCCTTTCTTTTGCCCCGTTTCCAGAGGGGACTGAGGCCACTAATTTGTGAACTTCAGAAATTCTGCCTTATAAATCAGAATTTAAGCCTGAGCTGGCTTAGAAAGAGTCTTTTTTCCTGCTAAGTCTTTTCCCTTTTGTTCATTTGCTTTCCAGCTTCCCAAATGTGGCTGCTTTTGCCTCCTCTCATGTTCTCATATGTCTTTTTTAAAAAAAATCCCTTTGGGAGGAAGTGAGAGTAGGTACATGTGCTCATTCTGGCATCTAAATGAGATACAGATGTTATTACGTCACTTTCCAGATAGGAAGTTGCAGCTCGTAGAGGTAGGGTAACTTGTCTGAGGACACAGCATGTAGGTGATACAGTTGTGGCTGGTATTAAGACAGTGCTGTTGAAAATGGAGGACAAGAATCGTGACCAAAGATCAGGACACAGGTGTCCCAGAGCCACAATATGCTGTTGTTGGCAGGGCCTTTCAAGAACAGCCGGTCCAACCCCCTCATTTTATGGGTAAGAAAAAGAAGGCCCAGAATGGAGAAGGGACTCTCCCCGAGTCGTGCATCCAACTCATGCCAACCCATGATGCAAAATATTCCCTGCTACACCACCCCTTTTTGTGACAGACTGCATTCCGTTATTGACTCTGTGAACATTTATTGGGCCCCAACTGTGTACTAGGTCCTATGCTAAGCCTGGGCCTACAGACATGAGTTCAGGGTGGTTCTTGCCTGCAGGGGATCCTCACCCTACTTTCTGCTGGTGGCCAGGCATCGTTGGTGACGGGGATGATGGATAGAAATAATGACAGCTAATGCTTATCAAGGACTTACTTCATGCCAAGTACTGTTCTAATTACTTTTCATGTAATTTGTTTGCATCCTCATAGCAAGTCTGTGATGTGTTGGTAATAGGCCCATTTCACTGTTAAGGAACCTCAGACATGCTGAATTCAGACGCTGGGTTTTAAAGCCAGGCAGTTCCAGAGTCCAGCTTTAATCACAGTCCTGAAATGAGGACTGCCAAGAGGGAGGGAGGCGAAGGAGATTAGCCAAGGGGGAGGGAGGGAGAGCAGAGGTGAGTTGAAGGGAAGGAGAAAGCTGACCTGATCTGCCTCCTTCCCCTTCAGTGCTCCAAGGGCCCCTCCTCTGATAAAGCCTTGACCTTCATGAAGGACCATTTCCTGATGGATGAGCCAGTGGTGGGGACACCCCTGCTGGTGAAGTCTGGTGTAGAGTACACTTGGCTTGCGGTGGAGACAGCCCAGGGCATCGACGGGCAGAGCCATCTGGTCATGTACCTGGGCACCAGTGAGTAGAGGGCTCCAGGCCACCCCTCAAGGGGCTGGAGCCAGGGTTGCAACTCAGGTTGAGGAGGGAGACCTTTGAGTTCATTCACTCATGCATTCATTCAACAAATGTTTTCTTCTTTTTTTAATTGGATGATAATTGCTTTATAATATTGTGTTAGTTTCTTCTGTACAACAGTGTGAATCAGCTATACATATACATATAACCCCTCCCTCTTGGACCCCCCACCATCCCACCCCTCTAGGTTATCACGAAGCAGCAAATGTTTATCTGAGCACCTACGCTGTGCCTGGCACCCAGCTAGGCTCTGAAAATATAGTAGGGGAACCAAAGAGCCCCATCCCTAACTTTTCTGAACTTTCAGTCTGGTGGGATAGAGAAGCACGAAGGGTTTTGGTGACCTTAGCAAGAGCTGTTTATCTTATTTATTTACCTTATGGGGGAAACCATGCTAGAAAGGTGAAGAGTAAGGAAGGATAGAGGAGGAGTGTATCGACTTGGGGAGGGAGAAGATGGACAGGAAGTAGAAGGAGCTCTTAGGTGAAGGCTTTTGTGTTTTCTATGAAATAGGAGAACACAAAGCCATGAGCGGTGGGGACCGAGGCATGGAAAACTCAGATTTCAGAAGATGGAAAGAAGGAGAGACAGTCTGTGGGGGGATGGGGGAGACTGCAAAACATGTGTTTTGAGGGCCTGGCTAAGGTGGATGACCTTGAGCTTTAGTAGAAGAAACCCATCAGGTTCATTCTTTCTTTTAGGACATCAGCTGTGCCTATATTGAGTACACAGTCGTGAACAACACAGACAAAAAGCTAGCTCCTTTCGGAGTGCATGGAGACAGACAAACATACTGAAGGAGTCGATTACTTGGTACATTATGAGATCAGAAAATAGACAGAACAGTGTGATGGGGTGGTCAGGAATGCTTGTTGGGGAGGTAGTAATTTTTGAAAGGGTGGTCGGGGTAGACCTCACTGAACTTTGAGTAGAGGCACTTGACCGAAGTGAGGGAGGCTGGTGATGTGATTTTCTACAGGACTGATTAAAAGTCCACATATCCATGAAGAAAGGGGATAGTTTGGTTCCTCTAGGGCTGCAGTTTTATCAGGCAGTTTCCAAGGAAGGACTTAGAGGCAAGGGATTTCCAGCCGTTTAGGAGAGCTCTGTCTCCGTGGCAACGGAAGGAAATGGTCTGACAGATCTGTGTCCAGTGCATACTTCAGAAGAAACTTTCTTTCTTTCTTTTTTTGGCTTCAAGGCGTGTGGGATCTTAGGTCCCCAACCAGGGATCAATTCAGCACCCCTTGCATGGAAGCCCAAAGACCTAGCCACTGGGCCACCAGAGAAGTCCCAGAAGGAACTTTCTGACAGCTGGGGAGGCCATCTGGAGTCAAAGAGGGAGCATGAGAGGTTAGGTGATTTCATTTCTCTCTCTCCACAGGCACAGGCTCCCTCCACAAGGCTGTGGTGAGTGGGAACCGCAGTGCTTATCTGGTGGAGGAGATTCAGCTGTTCCCTGACCCTGAACCTGTTCGCAACCTGCAGCTGGCCCCTACCCAGGTGGGAAACGGCCTGACCCTCAGATGGGGTCTCCAGTGGGGCAGGCCTTGGGTGCTAGGTCCTTACTAGGTATGGCAGGGTGACTCAACAGGCTTCATCTCTTTTCCAGGGAGCAGTGTTTGCAGGCTTCTCAGGAGGCATCTGGAAGGTTCCTCGAGCCAACTGTAGTGTCTACGAGAGCTGTATGGACTGTGTCCTTGCCCGGGACCCTCACTGTGCCTGGGACCCTGAGTCTCAAACCTGCCGCCTCCTGCCCACCCCTATCCTGTGAGTGCTGGTTCCCCAGTGTGTGCTTCTGATCTCTCTCTTTCCAGGTGCTATGAGGTTGGTGCAAAAGTAATTGCGGTTTGGGGCTGTGAATTTTATATCATTTTAACTAGGCTCAAACACATCTTTATCGATCAAAATAGGAACTGTTACAATCAATACATTTTTGCCAACAAGAAATAAATTGGTTTATTCCCGTAGCATAAAAATCTGTGCTTCAGGATTCGACAAACTCTTGGAAACCATTTTCTACTGGATGTGGAAGCATTTTCCCTTCGAAAAGTTGCTTGAAGAAGTGGTAGTCGGTTGGCAAGAGGTCAGGTGGATATGGTGGATTTGGCAAAACTTTGTGGCCCAATTCGTTCAGCTTTTGAAGTGTTGGTTGTGTGGCATGTGTTTGAGTGTTGTTGTGGAGAACGGGGCCCTTTCTTTTGACCAATGCTGGCTGCAGGCGTTAAAGTTTTCAGTGCATCCCATCGATTTGCTGAGCATGCTTCTCAGATGTCATGGTTTTGCCAGGATTCAGAAAGTTGTAGTGGATCAGACTTTTAGTGGTTGGACCAAAAAGAAGCTCGAAAGCACTTCCCAAAGCCGAATTTGCACCAAAAAAGGTCCTGACCAAACAGTGACCATGAGCTCTTCTTGGTGCAGGTTTGGCTTCAGGAAGTGCTTTGGAGCTTCATCTTGGTCCGACCACCGAGCTGGTAGTCACTGATTATGGTATACTATCCACTTTTGTTTTCTCATCACACATCTCAATCTGATCGAGAAACGGTTTCTTGTTGTTGCGTAAAATAAGAGAAGACAACTCTTCAAAATGACGACATTTTTGATTTGCGGTCAGCATGTGAGGCATTCACTTACTGAGCTTTTTCATCTTTTCCAATTTGCTTCAAATGCTGAACAACCATAGAATGGTCGACATGGAGCTCTTTGGCAACTTTTGTGTAGTTGTAAGAGGATCATCTTCAATGATCTCCCCAACTGGTCGTTGTCAACTTTCAGTGGCCGGCCACTGCACTCCTCATCTTCAAGGCTCTTGTCTCCTTTACAGAACTTCTTGAACCACCAAACGCACTGTACGTTCGTTAGCAATTCCTGAGCCAAATGCGTTGTTGGTGTTGCAAGGTGTCGCTGCCATTTTATGACCCATTTTGAGCTCAAGTAAGAAAATTGCTCAAATTTGCTTTTTGTCTAATATTATTTCCATAGTCCAAAATAAATATAAAATAAACATCAAGTAATAAGTCATTAGCAAAAACATAAAGCAAAATATATACATTAAAGTGCTGTATAACATAACCACCTTTATGAAGAATGTATTCCAATACCAAATGGCAAATTTCAGCAATGCAAAAACCGTAATTACGTTTTCATCAACCTAATACTAACACATCTCCTCCAAGACTACCCCCAGCCTCTGGGGCCTTCTCCAGGGATGGAGTTGCACCAGGCATTGTTGAGCTGTTTCAGCCCACCCTGGGCATCTCTTCCCCTGATCTCTATTCTACCTTGTCTCCCCGACCCATCTTTCTCCCCACTGCACTTCCCTCTCTTGCTCCCTCCTCTTCCCACTCTTGCCTGTTTCAAGGGATAATTTTTGCTTTCCCTCCTCAGGAAGCACTGGAAGCAGGACATGAAGCAAGGGAACCCAGAGTGGGCCTGTGTCGGTGGCCCCATGGGCAGGAGTCTGGGGCGCTGGAGCCGCCCCCAGATCAGTGAGTGTGGGGCCAGAGGAGGTGCAAAGGCTAGGGAGGACTTCCAGCGGTGGGGACATCCTGCATCAGTTTCTCCCCTCAGCATCTGCCTGGCTTGGAACTGAATACCCAGAGTTGGGATGGATTTGAATGTCAGCTGTAGGGCAGAGGGATAGGAATCCTAAGCTGGGACTCAGGACTGGGGTTGAAATTGGTTCTGGTGTCAGAGCTGGAGTCAGATGGACTGATGGAGTCAGTTAGTTTGGGGCCCAGACTGGAGACAGGAAAGGGATCAGAGCTGAGTTTAGGACTTGAAATAGAAGTTGGAGACGGGAATGAGGCTCCAAATGGGGGAGCCTGCATTCTCCCCTTAACCCTTGGCCCCTTTCCTTCCCCTACAGTTAAAGAAGTCCTGGCTGTCCCCAACTCCTTTCTGGAGCTCCCCTGTCCCCAGAGCTCGGCTCTGGCCTCTTACCACTGGAGTCACGGGCTAGAAGCCATCCCAGAGGCCTCTTCCACAGTCTACGACGGCTCCCTCTTGCTGCTTCTGCGAGATGGGGCGGGGGGCCTCTATCAGTGCTGGGCCACCGAGAATGACTTCTCCTACCCTGTGGTCTCCTACTGGGTGCACAGTCAGGACCAGCCCCTGGCCCTGGATCCCAAACTGGCGGGCATTCCCCGGGAGCGCATGGAGGCCCCGCTGACCAGGGTTGGCGGTGGGGCCGCCCTGGCTGCCCCGAAGTCCTACTGGCCCCACTTCCTCACCGTCACTGTGCTCCTCGCCCTGGTGCTTTCAGGAGCCCTCATCACCTTCCTTGTATCCCCGTTGGGGGCACTCCGAGCCCGGGGCAAAGTCCAAGGCTGTGGGACCCTGCCCCCCCGGGAGAAAGCCCCACTGAGCAGCGAGCGATGCCTTCAAGCCCCCAAGGAAAGCAGGACCTCTGCCAGTGATATGGACGCCGACAACAACCTCCAGGGCACAGAGGTGGCTTAAACTCTGGGTACAGGCTGGGGCTGTTGGATAGGGCAGGGCGCCCAGCCATTGGCTGGGGGAGCCAGGAGCTGCTCCTTCCTGACTAGGGTGGGAGTAGCACCAAAGACCACTTTCCCCCCACCAGAGGACCTTCTCTGCCATTCTGTGCCACTGATAGCACTCAGTGAGGCTGGGCACAGCAGCCTGGCTCCCCTGTGGAACTTGCTTCTACCAAGCATGTGGCCTCTCTAAGGAGGGGCTGCCCCAGACCTTGTCTAGGCTGTGAAAGGAGGACCCAGAGAGGATCCTTCAGTTCTGGGCATCATGGGACCGTCTAGAAACATACTGCTGCAGGAGACCCTAAAACAACAAGCACTTGAGCACGCCACACCTGGAGACTCCACTCTGAAAGCAGCTGCCACCTTGGACACCAACACTCTCCTCTCCCAGGGCTCTCCAGGACTCTGCAGGGAGCCGCTCCCTCCAGCTCCCCTATCAACCCCGCTGGGAGGTCTTTCCTGAAGTCTCACCTCCTTCCATCTTGCTTCAGTTGGGGCACGTTTAATCCCTTCTGGCCTGGCTCGAGCGGGAGGGGTAACCTGAGCCTTGTTCACTCCTTTTCCCTGGCTGACCCCTGGACCTCTCTTCTCTCCCCCTCCTCTGTTTTGGAATTCAAAACCTGCTTGTCGCAGACAGTTTATTTTTTATTAAAAAGACAAAGCTTGTGACTGGTGCTGTTTTTTGTCAGAGCAGAGCACTCCAGCCCGGGACCGTGGGAGGTAAGGGGAGCAGGAAGTCTGAGGACATCAGTAGGTTTGTGGGGTGATGGTTCTCTCCAGCTCCAAACCACTTCTTTCTCCCTGCCAGCTCCTTCCCGGCCCCCAAGCAGCCCCACAGCCCTCCCTTCTGCTCCAGACACTGCTGGAGAGCACCTCCAACTCTGGCTCTGGGGCCAACTCACGCCTGTGTCTGCTGGCCAGGCAACACCTCATCCATCACGGCTTCTGTGCCGCAGCCCCACAGCTGCCGTCCGCGGCTGTCCCACACTGCTCGAGACTCCTACTCAGGCCCCCTTCCCCACGGCAGCAGTTGGTTTCAACCCTTGGAGGACTGAATTTATAGAAAGACTGTGCGGCCACCCCCACCCTGGCCACATCCTTCCTAATATCTGAGAAATGCTCTGTGCACACCCCCTTATCACCCTCCCACTCTCCATCCTGTCACTACGTTTGTCCCTTTTCCATCCAAGGCTAACGGGTGCATTGCCCCTTCCCCTGGCCAGGCCAAGACGCCCTCCACTGCCCTCCCCACTTTACTGCTCCCTCAGTGTTAATCTCCCTTCCTCCACCCCACAAGTGTGCTAGGTGTTCTGTGTACCAAAGAAAAAAAAGCAATGATCCTTCCCACAACGCCACACTTTCAGTCTACCCCCTCCACCCTCGCTAACTCTGTCCTGCTAACTACTGAACACGAGGTAGGCTTCATTCTGGCTGTCCCCCAGCACCCCCAGCATCACCCTCACCCTCTTTAATCCCCTGCAGTCTGGCTTCCGCCCCCCCCTCACTCTCTGCTTACATGACTCTTCACGATTTTTCTTTTTTTTAATTATTTTTTTCTTTCTTCACAATTTTTCATAAGCCTCTCACTGGCCTTGATCTCTATGTAGTCTTCACACCTTGGCCATGATACTCTCCTCACAGCTCACTTACTCTTTTAAAATGTGTATTGGTGTATAGTTGATTTACAATGCTGTGTTAGTTTATGCTGTAAGCAAAGTGAGTCAGTTATACATAAATATACATCCACGCTTTCTTAGATTCCTCATAACTCTCTTCCACAATGGCTTTTTCTTTTTTTTTTTTTATGTCAGACAGGTAATGTGCCGATGTCGTAACAAGGCTTGGAGGGAGGCACATGTCATGCAGTAGCGTGAACACCCAGTCATCATGCTCATGAACTACAAAAGGATCTGCGATGGCTTTTTCTTTAGAAGATGTTTTAAAAATTTTCAGTTGTGGTAAAAAGAACATGGTAATATAAAATTTACCCCCTTTAACCATACAGTTTTGGCTTCCCTGGTGGCTCCGTGGTAAAGAATTTGCTTACAGTGCAGGGATGCGGGTTCCATCCCCTGGAGAAGGAAATGGCAACCCACTCCAGTATGCTCGCCTGGAGAATCCCATGGACAGAGGAGCCTGGTGGGCTACACTCCATGGGGTAGCAGAATCAGACATGACTTAGCAAACTAAACAGCAACAAACCATACAGTTTAAGCATAGAGTTCAGTGTGGGAACTATATTCCCATCGTTGTATAACAGATCTCTAGAACTTTTTCATCTCGTGAAACTCGAAGCTGATGCTCACTGAACATTTCCTCCTCCTCTCAACCCCTCGCAGCCACCATTATGCTTTCTGTCTATGAGTCTGACTACCTTTGGTGTCTCGTCTTTGATCTTGTGTGACTGGCTTATTTCACTCACCATACTGGCCTCCAGGTTCATCCATTTTGTTGCGTATGACAGGATTTTCTTCCTTTTTTGAGGCTGATTAATATTCCATTGTATGTATAGACCGCAATTTGTTTGCTTATCTGTTGATGGACACTTGGATAGTTTTCACTTCTTCACTATTGAGAATAATGCCACAATCAGCATCAGTTCAGTTCAGTACAGTTCAATCGCTCAGTCGTGTCTGACTCTTTGTGACCCCATGAATCGCAGCATGCCAGGCCTCCCTCTCCATCACCAACTCCCGGAGTCCACCCAAACCCATGTCCATCGAGTCGGTGATGCCATCCAACCATCTCATCCTCTGTCATCCTCTTCTCCTCCTGTCCTCAATCTTTCCCAGCATCAGGGTCTTTTCAAATGAGTCAACTCTTCTCATTAGGTGGCCAAAGTACTGGAGTTTCAGCTTCAACATCAGTCCCTCCAATGAACACCCAGGACTAATTTCCTTTAGGATGGACTGGTTGGATCTTCTTGCAGTCCAAGAGACTCTCAAGAGTCTTCTCCAACACCACAGTTCAAAAGCATCAATTCTTCAGTGCTCAGCCTTCTTTATAGTCCAACTCTCACATCCATACATGACCACTGGACAAACCATAGCCTTGACCAGACGGACCTTTGCTGGCAAAGTAATGTCTCTGCTTTTTAATATGCTGTCTAGGTTAGTCATAACTTTCCTTCCAAGGAGCAAGCGTCTTTTAATTTCATGGCTGCAGTCACCATCTGCAGTGATTTTGGACCCCAGAAAAGTAAAGTCAGCCACTGTTTCCCCATCTATTTCCCATGAAGTGATGGGACCAGATGCCATGATCTTAGTTTTCTGAATGTTGAGCTTTAAGCCAACTTTTTCACTCTCCTCTTTCACTTTCATCAAGAGGCTCTTTAGTTCTTCACTTTCTGCCATAAGGGTGGTGTCATCTGCATATCTGAGGTTATTGATATTTCTCCTGGCAACCTTGATTCCAGCTTGTGCTTCCTCCAGCCCAGCGTTTCTCATGATGGACTTTGCATATAAGTTAAATAAGCAGGGTGACAATATACAGCCTTGACGTACTCCTTTTCCTATTTGGAACCAGTCTGTTGTTCCATGTCCAGTTCTAACTGTTGCTTCCTGACCTGCATATAGGTTTATTAAGAGGCAGGTCAGGTGGTCTGGTATGCCCATCTCTTTTAGCATTTTCCACAGTTTATTGTGATCCACACAGTCAAAGGCTTTGGCATAGTCAATAAAGCAGAAATAGATGTTTTTCTGGAACTCTCTTGCTTTTTCTTTTCTTTTTTTTTTTTTCTCTCTTGCTTTTTCAATGATCCAGCAGATGGCAATTTGATCTCTGGTTCCTCTGCCTTTTCTAAAACCAGCTTGAACATCTGGAAGTTCACGGTTCACGTATTGCTGAAGCCCGGCTTGGATCATGGGTGTGCAGATATCACAAGATCCTGTCTGCTACGGATCCTTTATTGGAGGTGTTTGGTTTCCCATTTTGTTTCTTCTCCCTTGTTGGCTCCTTTCCTTCCTCTCATTAGCCAGGGCACTTTTGTCCTGAGGCCCGGCTTTCACTGTTCTGAGCATCCTTTCCAGACTGTCTCCTATGGGTCCTGCATGACCTCTAGGTCAAGGGCAGTGGGCCAGTGGAAAGGGCACAGGGCCAGGACTGAGCTCGGGCCTGTGATCTGCTGACGATAGACTTGGACAGTCCTTCCTGTCTGCACCTCAATTTCTTCACTTCTCAAAGGGAAGGGATACACAGGAAACTTCCTGCTTTAAGTGTTATGGATCCCTCTCTGTCAAATGTACAGCTCCAGAGCCTAGCCTTCTCCTGTGCCTTGGCCAGGGCAAGGATAAGACTGCTGGGCATCTTTAACCAGGTGACCCAGGGGCTCCCAGAACCCCATGTTTTCTCTTTCCCTCCTCTACCTCCTGCCAACATCACTCTGGATACTCTTTCCGCATCTCCCTCTCAGGCACAATTTAGAGGCTATCTCCTCCTTCTCTTCCCAGTCTGCTCCAGTTCTGGCTGATTAGTTTTTCCCTAAGATTTCCCCAGCATTCACTGTCTGTATTGCTCAGAGGTACTTAGACCCAACCATGAGAATGTAAAATACTGTTTTTCACAAAGATGGTGCTGAAGGTGAAAAAGGAGGCCCCTGCCCCTCTGAAAGCCGAAGCCAGAACAAAGTCTTCGAAGGCCAAGAATGCAGTGTTGAAAGGCATTCGGAGCTACCCAAAAAAGACAGTCTGACATTACCTACTATTCCACCACCCAGAATACTGCGGCTCAGGAGGCGGCCCAAATATCCTTGGAGAAACAAGCTTGACCACTATGTTATCAACAAGTTCCCCGTCACCACTGCCATCAGCCAGGAAGAAGACAGAAAATAACAACACTCTGGGGCTCACTGTGGATGTCAAGACCAGCAAGCACCAGAGTAAACAGACTGTGAAAAAGCTCTATGGCCAAGGTCAACACTCTGATCAGCCCTGTTGAAGAAAAGAAGGCATATGTTCAACTGGC